TCACCATCTTCTTCCTTGAACTTAGATGATGTCATAGACTTTACTGGAGATGGAAGTGGTGGATGACAGTGGGGGAGATGAAGATGAAGAAATCGCAGGTAGCGGAGAAGACAAAGGTATTGACTGCGGTGGCACTGATGGCAAAAAAAAGGCAGAGATTATGGTGCTTCATACGAGAGGAGGGAGAGGGTTTTTTTTAATGGGCAAAATAGACAACTTAAAACGGATTGCAGCCTTGTAATCAGCATTCATAGGCCCTCCCTTAGGAATAAACATTACCAAAAAATGTGCAATTCTCATTACCAGTGCAATCTTTATTACCATTAATAAGTCTAACCAAACATTCCTTTTATGGTAATGCAGTAATAATTACCATTGCAAGCCTGCAATGTGGTTGAACCAAACGGGCTCTAATGTTATACAGTACTGCAACTGTATCTATATATAGTACAATTCAAAATCACATTAATGACGGAATTAATTACTTCTGGGCAGCTATAATTAAGACAGATTTTGGTCCAAGGGTACGACCTCTCAAATGCTCCATTATTTAACGGAAACATGCTCACCTAACCTACTTACATGTCTAATACTAGTGTGTGTGTGTGTGTGTGTGTATATATATATATTGGCAAGAAAAATAATGAATAAGGGAGAATACAACATCTCAACTTATTATGCACGGAATTAACTCCATCTCACGCGCCTTCGCTGCTACTAGTCATTTGTAGTTATCACTTTGGTCGCGTTTAAACTAAGTTTTTGTTTGAGTTCTATAGTCAGGTAGGTGTCCGGTGACCTCGCTGCCTTGCTGCCTCTTGCCTCCGCCGTGAGGGGGACGACTCTCAGCCGCGGCCTGCTAAGAAGACGACTTCATCGATCTACACGGCGATCGATTCTTCTCCTGAATCTTTTATCTCCGCTACGGCAATATAATGAGGATTATTACCACCGATGTTAGCAAAAGAAAGAAGGGGCCGATTCTTTCTGATCGAAGAAGGTGCGCACAGGTGGCAAGATTAGTTTCCAATAGTTGTGAGGCCCCTCAAATGCTTCGGTTTGTTTGTTCAAGCATCATTTAAAGCTGTCATCTCTTTTGTCAACATGAGTGTCACTTCAAGTCAATGGCTTGTTTTTTAATATCCATGCTTTTGCCACTTTCTGGGAAACATCTACTCGTGATGCTAAAGACATGTGAAGATGTAACGTGTTCATATATGTGACATCTTAAGATTGATACGAACAAGGACTCCCACAAATATATGTATTAGAGCCTAATTCAGTTCGTGCAGATGGAAGTGACCAGAGAAAACCAATTCGTAAGAATAAGGCAAGCGCATGGCTGTTTGTGATTGGGATTCGAAAGAAGAGAATTGTTGAAGAAATGGAGAGACAAGAGACTTGCAGGCAAACTGATGGCCCTTATTTGTCGCTTTTCAACATCAGTTATAAGATTTTTTTTTAATTTTAAATTTCGCATCTATTAAAATAAAAAATTATTTAAATTAAATATGAAATATTCAAATGGATCTGGATGGTCCAATTAGCTAGGATGAGCGCATTGCATGCTGTTTTTTGAAAAAGTTTTTTATGAGCATAGAACATGAAACAGAATCCAGTAGATTAGCATAAAAGTAAGCATCAAATTGAGGAGGCTTTGGCTTTATCTAAGGAAATGACTTATTGGATGGTCCAATGAGGATGAGCGCATTACTTGCGGGTTAGCGGTAGCCGGTTAGAAATAGGCGGTACACGTTAAAAAGGTTTTTTATAATAGTTAGCCAATCATAACATGTTATGGTGGGTCAACTATTTTTTTTTATTTTTAACTATTTTTTATACAATAAAAAACAAAATATAATGAAATTTTATTTTTTCTTCAAATACTTGATTGAAAACACTAAATAAATAATATACTCCTCCGGTCCTTAATATAGGACCCAATTGTTGAATTAGTTTTGGTCCTAAATATAAGACCTATTTCTCATATTTATCAAATTTCTCTAAATTATTCATATAGATACTCCCTCAACCATAAACAAGTAAAAGAGGGAGAGGAGGTATTAAGAAAGATGATTATGGTGTTTTAGGAAAAATGTGTCACATGTCTTATAATTAACTAACTTACCTAACTTTGTTAATTTAATCAAATTAGTTGAATGGGTCTTATATTAAGGACCAGAAGAGTAGATATTTTTTTAATTTTTTAGATATGATATAAATTATAATAATTAATACAATTTAAACATACAAAAAAATGCGGGTTAGCCTACCAGGTGATGCAAGTTAAAATGTTTCATCTGCAGATAGGTTGGTTTTTAGCCAACCCTAAGCTGTCATTTTTTGGGGGTTGATGGGTCTAACTCATATTACCAACTCTAATTTTGCTCATTTTCATGATTCAGTGTTCATCCAAATATCACTTTCCCTTATTATTTGTTTAATTTCAGTCCCTTATTTTTTGGCCTAATAAATCGATTCAATATGCCAGAGTCCCGTGTGCGTATTGAAAATGGAATTTTTATTAATTAGCAAATATTAAACATTCTCCACGCGGAAGCCACCAAGATAATATATCGTATTCCATATGCGGTGGAAGATAAAATCATAAAGGTAACCACTGATGATGTCTAAAGTGAAAAGCAACCTCTGAAAAATTTTCGACCACTCCAACTAGTTGAAATATAATCTAAATAAAATATAGGAGATATATATATATATATATATATATAGTATGAAAAGATCAATTTAATAACAGTTAAATTCTAAAAAAATTAAAGAATTGTACACATAATTTAGATATTTACAAAAATAAATTTTGATATTTAAGTCTCATAAGTCATTGTTATCATATTTTACCGTGCGTCAAAATTTTTATATGGCTATTTGCAAGTTTATCGATTGATATTTACAAATTATTTTTAGCTAAAATTTTTTAGAGCTAATTATCATTTAATTAATCTTTTTAGAACCTGTAAGTGTCACTCTTCCAAGAAAACATATACTCCTTTGATCCTATTTATAGAACAGAGAGAGAATGTATTTTTTGGTCCTATTTATAGGGCACTGAAAGAAATGTTTTGTATGAATGTATAATTTTACCCCTCATTTATTATTGTGTTGCTTTTGTTTATATGAGGTGTAATGTGTATTAAATAGGGATAAAGTTAGAAAGTTATTAAATTTTAAATGACAATTAATGTGTGAAACATGCTAACAGTGCATTATAAATAGAACCAAAGGAGTATATGGTACAACTCTTAAGAATTACTCCTCCGGTCCTTAATATAAGACCCAATTCTTGAGTTGGTTTTGGTTCTAAATATAAGACTCATTTCTCATATTTATCAATTTTCTTTAAATTATCCCTATAGATACTCCATCAATCATATTTAAGTAGAAGAGGGAGAGGGAGTATTAAGAAAGATGATTATGGTGTTTTAGGAAAAATGTGTCATTTTTCTTATAATTAACTAACTTACCTAACTTCCTTAATCTAATCAAATTAGTTAAATGGGTCTTATATTGAGGACTGGGAGAGTACTATTTTTTTGTCAACTGATTAAAATAATTCTCACTTATACCAATCTATGCTTTGTCCAACCATATCATTGCTTGTGGGGCAATGCACTAACGAGCTTTTAGATTCACCATTATTATTGTTTGTTTCGAGAAGATTTGAGTTTCGCTTTGATTCAGGGTTATTAATTATATTTAAAAATAAACATATTTAGTTTTGAGAATTTTCTTTGCAAATAAAGCGCTTAATTACATCTGAAAAAGAAACCCATCATCCAGTGAGCGAGATGTAAATGCATGTATCGCGTATCAATTAAGAGACCGAGGGTCAACTATATTTTACTGGATTAAATTATGTGTATTTAAATGGAAATATAAATAAATTAAATTATTTATTAACCTTGACTCGTTCTTTTTTCCTATAGTACTTAACCATGACTCTTTCTATCTTTTATATTTTGTTTCATATATTGATCATATATAATATAAGTCAGCGGCTTGTGATAGGTTTAATTTATAGAGTGTATATGTTTTTTTTAAAACTTTTTTTATAATAATATTCTTCTTTTTAATTAAACTATGAAGGATCCTCCTCTTCCATTACATGCATGCTTAGGGAAAAACTGATTACTATGGAGTGAAATTAATTAGCATGCTGAAATGGAAAAGAAGGTAAACATAGAATAAAATTTGAAATATATGTAAAACAAATTAATTGACAATATGGACCCATATATAGTCATCTCATCCGGGTTTGGATTTCGTAATTCGGCTGCATTAATCTAATTAATGTCATTTCTAAGTTACTATGCAGCCCAATTTGCATAATAAAAAAGGGTCTATGATGAAAATGTAGCCAAGTGAAACGTATCACCAGTGCTCAGTTGCTTTAAGTGACTATAAAGTCCTCTGCTCGTAATTTATTCTATTACTTCCAAGTCAGTTAGCTAAAGTTAGTTATGAATTATTTTTTTTATGAAATATCAAAATTATTCTCAATATAAGTTATTAATTAGTTATAGGAATTAAACCAAAAAATGTATAGTCAGTTAGAAACCCAAGTGCGTGGGAAAAATGATATTATATATGGACAAAAAATGTTATATAATACTTCATCTACTATCTAATATAAAAGCTACTTAATTAATTTAGATAAATTAGTTAATTATAATAAGTATGATAGGATTTTCCTAAATTATCCTTCTATAAAATTAACTAAATTATATCTCAATTTATAAGTTAAATAAATTAGTTTGAAAAAAAATTATAAACATGAAAAACAAAATAGTTTAATGTTTGATATTAGAACTAAAGACAGTGCAATATATCAGAGGGTACATATTTATAATTATTATAATTACGACTAAAAGAAGTAATTGATTGATGGTTTTTCATGCAAACTTACCTATAAATAACCCTATACTAACCCGCAGGAAGATCATCATCATCTCTAACGATATACTAGTCGCATTGACACAAAAATGGGATTCTCCAAAACATCATTTGCTCTTCTTTTCCTCTTCATGACTTTACCTCTCTTGTTTCAAATCTCTGAAGCCCAAAACTCACCACAAGACTATCTCAACGCCCACAACGTCGCTCGGGGACAAGTCGGAGTCCCAAACATAACCTGGGACGACACCGTGGCAACCTACGCTCTCAACTATGTTAACTCCAGGACGAGTGACTGCAACCTCGTCCACTCCGGCGGGCCTTACGGCGAGAACCTTGCCAAAGGCAGCGGCTTATTCACCGGCACGGCCGCTGTGAACCTGTGGGTGGCGGAGAAGCCGTACTACAATTACACGTCTAACTCTTGCGTGGGAGGCCAACAGTGCCTGCATTATACTCAGGTGGTTTGGAAAAACTCAGTTCGTGTGGGATGTGCTAGGGTTCAGTGCAACAATGGCTGGTGGTTTGTGTCCTGCAACTATGATCCTGCGGGCAATTATATTGGCCAACGTCCTTATTAATTACTATTATTCATAAGAAAAACGTAAACTTTCAGAGTCATACTGAAGGTAGCCGGCCAGGCATATATATAATAAGGTGTGGCATATTTGTGACCCGCCATATAAAAAAAATATTTTGTTGTTTTTGAGAATTATGATATGATTGTGCCCAATTTCAAAATTTTTAAAACCTATGCTGTTTAATCTCTTATCGATAACAAATATTTTTAATTTGGTGTGGACTCAGCATATATAAACAAATAAACATATAATATGTCCTGAGACCCCGACATATATATAACGTTGTATACTAAACGATATTCTTTGATCTGATTCTATTTATAAACTACTTTGAATTTGATTTATAGAGAAAAAAATTTAAACTTTATTAGCTCTGTCTTAAACATTAATAGCTTTGCAGCTTTACATTTATGTATTTATTTTTTGATTCAATATAATTTAAACTCATGCACATAAACATGTTAACATTAGCTTCAATCCTGATACCTCATTCAAGCCTATTTAATATCTATACATTTTCCCGTAAAATAATTATAAATAGGAAAAAAACATAGAAATACATGATTATATATATATATATATATATATGATATAGTGATATTGGTAACATTAATTTATTGTATTGGTGATAGTTGCCTAAAATGTTGAAATTTCATACAGACGTCACTAAGCTATCAGCGAGTTAATTAATTAGCACAAGCCACAAGACTTCTAATTTTATTGTGGTACAGTTGAAATGCTAACGTATGTACGTGTTGATAAAGTATACTAGTAGTATTAATTAAATTTTGTTACTCTACATTATCTTGTACGGCTTTGGTTTCATCGTTGTGATCCACGTAACTACAAATTAGTTTAGGCCATTGACAGTGTTAGCAATTAATTAACCCATCTGGCTTATATTTTCGGCTTGTTGGATGATGACTGGATATATCTACCAAAATAAAAAAGAAATAAAAAGAATTCATTAATTTATACTAATAGCCTGAATTTCAAGGCAGTTTCAAGATTTTGATTGAATTGGTCTTAGATACTATCATAGTTTTTTTCAGTGTTCTTCCGTTTTCGTTGTTTGTCCTATTATTAATACTTCCATGCCAGTTGACTTTTGAAACCTCTGTAAATTTTTATTCTATACTACACTGAATTATATATATGGACCCACATTATCTTATAACTTATCGTACTCTTGATTTTATATACACACACCAATAAAAGTTATAAAATCCTAAAAATATATATAATTACTAAAAAGTCTTAAAAACAACAAGGTAACTTATAAATGACAAGTTACAATGTAAAAATAACAACTCTCTTATTATTGATATATTTTTATAATCATTTTTTCTTAAAATCTCATATATAGCAGTTCTCCCTAAAACATATCTACCAACTAATCCTTTTCTTCTTTTTTGCTTTCCTTAATCCTTGGTTATCTAGCATAAATCCATTTACAGTAGTATTTTAATTTGATTAATAAATAATTTCAAATTATAAAAATTCTATCAAGTAGTACTTTAATTTTTCCGAGTTAAATGATGTTTGATATACATGTTTATTCTTTTCTTTTTAAGTTCCTAAACAATTTTTATAAAACATGCGTGTGCGCGCACCATCATTCTTATGTATTTAAAACATATACACAATGCTTTTTTTTCCTTTAAAGAAAAGGTCACTCATTTACCGAATAAATCACACTTTATGGGTTGAAAAATAGATTATATTGATTTAATAAATTCATGTCTCAGTACCTTAATAATGTTCATATTCGAAAGAAATCCTCAAAATGAATATATATATCAATCAAAGTAAACATCCGTTTAATCAGATAATTAAATAATACAAATGATGAGGTCATGAGATGTCATAGATATTAAGAAATTGTGAATCACCAAGTTGACAAAAATTAACCAAAAAATTAAGAGCAAGAACAAGAATTACAAAATTTGTAAATGGACATCATCATCATCATCATCACATGCATATTCCAAAAAGTTCTCTTCAAAATAATCAATATTTATCCATATCCAGAATTACATAACCATCTGAAGCATTGCCAGCACTCCCACCCATATGCCAATTGTGTATCTTTTCCAAGGACTCTGTCTCTTAGCCCCTATCAACCAAAAGCCTCATATTAATAAATCCTTGAAACACCTCCTAATGCAATTTCCTGAAATCACAGATGGAATGGCCTCTACCTCTCTATGTCTATCTTTGTTTTTTTCCCCAAACATTTCAGAAGATTTAAGTTCTGACACATAATAACAGTTCTAGTAATGAAATACTCTTTCGGTCCTAAACATAAGACCCATTTTGTAGTGTAAATTCTACTACAAAATGAGTCTTACATTTAGGGCGAGAGTAGTTTAATTTATGATGCCCACCACCTAGAATAGTCGAGGCACCCTTTGCTTGAGGGGGGAAAAAAAGAGAGACAGAAGAACAAAATAATAGTGGGGGCATCCAGTAGGCTAGCTAGTTTCATCTATTTCATCAAATTGGCTCGCTCCAACTTAATTCACCCGAACCAGATGGGCCAAAAAACTGTCTTTAAAAAAGAAATGACTTCTCATCTTATATCATTATATATAAAGTGAGTTTGACGAAAGTAAGAAAGTTGTTTGAAATAGTGTCTCTGAGGAACTGAGAGGAGGAAAAGAGAAAAGGTAGACAAATAAGCCTAAGTTATATAGGATTCACACATCTATATATGAAGATTAGACTCACTTTTGTACTGATAATAACTAACTGTTGTAAAAGAGAAAAGGTAGACAAATAAGCCTAAGTTCTATAGGATTCACACATCTATATATGAAGATTAGACTCACTTTTGTGCTGATAATAACTAACTGTTGTAATCATATAAAGATCTTTTTTCATGGTACTCACCACTTAGAAGAATCGAGGCATTATTATAGAAGCGATAATCATTGTACCACATGAAGCAATTAACTCCATAAATCTCCCATCTTCTCTTGTTGCCAATCCCAGTTCTGAAGTTCTGCAACTGAGCCTGCAGGCACCTTCTGCAATCTTCCTTTCTGATGTCTCTCGTGCACTGAGCCATCCCATACCTCTTCGTCACATTATTCACATCCAACACTCCTGTCTCAAACATTATTGATTTCTCCGATGCTGACTCAGCTACCCCTCCCATGAATTCAAGCCCTTCTGAAACAACCTTAGCCTCATCAAAATCTGTATCGTTTGTCACTGCCACTGATGTTTCCTCCATGGTTCCAAAGAAGCTCTGGTTCGCGTACCGTAGGAAGCACCATCTGAACCAGACAGACACGTCTCGGCTCTTTGGGCAATCATCGGATGCTGCTTTGATGGAATTAAGGACGCAATTAGAACAGTTGTCAGCAGATATGTCGCCTCTACATAGTACAGAACCATAGACTGTGTTGGATTTCTTGCTTCCCACGCGGGTTTTGTAGAAGCCGTGGCGGTTGATTACATTATCAGAGAGAGAATCCATGGTGGTTCTTAGATTGACAAGGAAACCGTCGTCTTCGTTCAGTGAGTTGTCAGATTCCGAGCACAGTGTGCCTGTTTGACGATTAATGTCGGCGAAGCAGAGGCCACTGGGAAAGAGAAGAAGATAGAAGAGAACACAGAGAAGAGAGAAATAGATTGGTTTCATGTCTTTGATGAGCTAAAGATTGATTTGAGAGAGAAGATGGAAGAGATTTAGATTGAGGCCAGGGTCATGGGTTCAGGAGTGGAGCATCTTACCCGTAATTAATTTGATTGCAAATTCTATAATATTCATATTGCAGGTCAAATAATGACTTTGATTTTATATATATATATTGTATTATGCAAGTGAGCAAAGTCAGCTCTTTCGGTGATGAGGTGATGAGATGTGTGTGTGTGTGTGTGTGTGTGTGAGGGGATTTTGAATTAAAAAGTCAAATAATGATTTATTGTCCTTTGTTTAATGATTACATTATAGTCTTATCCGGGGAAGCAGCAGAAAGATACAGTGTAAGAAAATGTGAAAATTTCTCAATTCTAAAATAGGCCATTTGTGCCCCTTAAAGGAAAATTTCTCTTTTCCCTTCAATAATACTGTCAACTGTTCATAACCAATAGATACGTTAATTATTTTGGACTTTACTCAGTTCTCCCCCTTATTATTTTTGTTTTCTATCGATCTCTTTCAATT